CAATTTTTGTTGAAATCAAACAAAGTTTAATTTTGGACCCCAACTTGGACAAACTTGAAAACTGGTCCCATAATCAAAAATCTGAACACATGTTTAGATTCAGCATATCAAAGTACCCCAAGAATTCAATTTTTGTTAAAATCAAACTAAGTTTAATTTTGGACCCTTTGGACCTTAATGTAGACAATTTAAAAAACGGGACCCAAAATTAAAAATCTAAAAACAAGGTTAGATTTGGCATATCAAAGAACCCCAATAATTCAATTTTTGATGAAATCAAACAAAGTTTAATTTTGGACCCTTTTGACCTCAATATGAACCAATTTGATAGCGGGCCCACAAATAAAAAATCTAAATACATGGTAAGATTCAGCATATCAAAGAACCCCATATATTCAATTTTTGTTGAAATCAAACAAAGTTTAATTTTGGACCCCAATTTGGACCAACTTGAAAACTGGGCCAAAAATCTAAAAACATGTTTAGATTCAGCATATCAAAGAACCCCATATATTCAATTTTTGTTGAAATCAAACAAAGTTTAATTTTGGACCCCAACTTGGACCAACTTGAAAACTGGGCCCATAATCAAAAATCTAAACACATGTTAAGATTCAGCATATCAAAGAACCCCAAAAATTCAATTTTTGTTAAAATCAAACTAAGTTTAATTTTGGACCCTTTGGACCTTAATGTAGACCAATTTAAAAAACGGGACCCAAAATTAAAAATCTAAATACACGGTTAGATTTGGCATATCAAAGAACCCCAATAATTAAATTTTTGATGAAATCAAACAAAGTTTAATTTTGGACCCTTTTGACCTCAATATGAACCAATTTGAAAAACGGGGTCCACAAATAAAAAATCGAAATACATGGTTAGATTCAGCATATCAAAGAACCCCATATATTCAATTTTTGTTGAAATCAAACAAAGTTTAATTTTGGACCCCAATTTGGACCAACTTGAAAACTGGGCCAAAAATCAAAAATCTAAATACATGTTTAGATTCAGCATATCAAAGAACCCCATATATTCAATTTTTGTTAAAATCAAACAAAGTTTAATTTTGGACCCTTTGGACCTTAATGTAGACCAATTTGAAAACTGGATCCAAAATTAAAAATCTAAATACACGGTTAGATTCGGCATAACAAATAAATAAATGTGGTCAAAGATTTTACAAATCTAATGCGCCATACTGTGCAATTAAAGATTACTTCTTGAAATTTTTCAATATTTGAAATTTGAAAAAAAAATAATATTTGAAGAATAATTCTTTTTAATTTCTGAAATCTGAAATGAGAAAAAATTGACCCCCCACAATTTCTTTTTACCCCCCCCCCCCCCCTTTTTTCCCCCCAAACCATAATTACCCATTTAAATTTACCATAGTGCTAACTTAATCTATTTTATAATAGAATTAAAAATATAGTGTCAAATCTTTCATATGGATTTTTTTGTAAAAAAAAAAGATGCAACATTTGCAGATATTTTTACTGGTCTTCCTTTATAAATATGCATTTCTTTAAACATAATTTAAAAGCAGTGTAAGGGAAGTAACCAAAACGTTGTATTTGGATTACCTCCCTTACACTGTTTTAAATTATCTTAATTGTTCATTAACCATTACTTTATACATAATTTAAAAGCAGTGCAAGGGAGATAATTTCAATGATGTATTTGATTTATCTCCCTTACACTGCTTTAAATTATGTTTTGTACTAAAGTATTTGTCCATTAACCAGGACAACCTTGTTTTTCCCCCTTTTTTGCCCCTAATTCTTAAACGGTTTGAGCCATAACCCCCCAAAGCAAATCCTAACCATCCCTTTGTGGTATGGAAACTTGTAGTACAATTTCAGAGAGATCCATACACTGTTCCACAGTTATTGTCTGGAAACTAGAAAATGCTTATTTTTGGCCCCTTTTTGGCCCCTAATTCCTTAACTGTTGGTACCATAACCCCCAAAATCAATCCCCACCTTCCTTTTGTTGTATTGAACCTTATGGTAAAATTTCATAGAGATCCATTCACTTAAACTAAAGTTAGAGTGCGAAAACTAATGCGTATTCGGACGACGACGCCGGACGACGACGACGACGACGACGACGACGACGACGCCAACGTCATACCAATATACGACCACAAAATTTTTTTTGCAGTCGTATAAAAATGTGGAATAATAGATATTTATAATCACTTCATGCAATTCCGCCATTACATTATATTGTCATTAAACCTACTAATGTATTAGAAAAGTTATTGCAAATGTTACATTTAAAAGAAAAAGAACAATCCGTTTCTATATGATATAGTATACATCATAAAATAAATATTTACAAAAATCTCTGCTTACACATACATCATGTTGAAATAATGTTCTCTTTTCTTATCAAACAAATAAATGAAATAAATAATATGCAACATGTTTGATTGAATTTTGTCAGGTTTCCTCTGTTTAACTTTTATGATAGACACTTTCTTTAGGCCATATCTTAGTTCTCAGAATATGAAGACAAGGAAACAAAGTAATTTGAGATCAACTTACTAATATGTATAAATGTTCATTCACAACCATCAATTATAAACAGTAACCGGAGCAAATTAAGAAAGATATCCAAAAAAAACTTAGAAGAGGTTTTCAAAATGTTTCTTTTAAAAATTGTTCCATCTAATGTTAACTTTTTCAATTGAAATTTCAGAAAGACTATGAAAATCAAAGGAAATTCTATCGAGAAAACTGAGATTCCTGTTGAACCTATATAAATAAGAAGATGTGGTATGAGTGCCAATGAGACAACTCTCCATCCAAGTCACAATGTATAATAAAATGCTTCGCTGGGCGCAGCTTGATACGACCGCAGAGGTCGAACCCTGAACAGTTGGGGCAAGTATGGACACAACATTCAAGCTTGATACAGCTCTGAATTTGGATTGTGATTAAATATTTGACACAGCATAGGTTTCTGACACAGAAAGAATGTGGTCTAAGAACTTCAATTTTTTTAATTTACCTATTATGGTCCAATGTCCAAAATCAAAATACATGGTTAGATTCAGCATATCAAAGAACCCCATATATTCAATTTTTGTTGAAATCAAACAAAGTTTAATTTTGGACCCCAACTTGGACAAACTTGAAAACTGGTCCCATAATCAAAAATCTAAACACATGTTTAGATTCAGCATATCAAAGTACCCCAAGAATTCAATTTTTGTTAAAATCAAACTAAGTTTAATTTTGGACCCTTTGGACCTTAATGTAGACCAATTTAAAAAACGGGACCCAAAATTAAAAATCTAAATACACGGTTAGATTTGGCATATCAAAGAACCCCAATAATTCAATTTTTGATGAAATCAAACAAAGTTTAATTTTGGACCCTTTTGACCTCAATATGAACCAATTTGATAGCGGGTCCACAAATAAAAAATCTAAATACATGGTTAGATTCAGCATATCAAAGAACCCCAAGAATTCAATTTTTTGATGAAATCAAACAAAGTTTAATTTTGGACCCTTTTGACCTCAATGTGGACAAAGTTGATAACGGGGCCCAAAAATCAAAAATCTAAATACATGGTTAGATTCAGCATATCAAAGAACCCCATATATTCAATTTTTGTTGAAATCAAACAAAGTTTAATTTTGGACCCCGATTTGGACCAACTTGAAAACTGGGCCCATAATCAAAAATCTAAATACATGTTTCGATTCAGCATATCAAAGTACCCTAAAAATTCAATTTTTGTTAAAATCAAACTAAGTTTAATTTTGGACCCTTTTGACCTTAATGTAGACCAATTTGAAAACGGAACCAAAAATTAAGAATCTAAATACACGGTTAGATTCGGCATATCAAAGAACCCCAATAATTCAATTTTTGATGAAATCAAACAAAGTTAAATTTTGGACCCTTTGGACCTCAATGTGGACCAATTTAAAAACGGGGCCCAAAATCCAAAAACTTAATACACGGTTAGATTCAGCATATTAAAGAACCCCAAGAATTCAAGAATAAAACCCCATTGAAATTGATCAAGAAATAAGCAATTTATACGAAGTATCTTCTTTTGCACAATACTGTGCAATTGAATATTTCTTGCTATTGTGCAATACTGTACAATTGACAATTTCTTGCTATTGCGCAATATTGTGCTATTGGATATTTCTTGCTATTGCGCAATACTGTGCAATTGAAGATTTCTTGCTATTGCGAAATACTGTGCAATTGAAGATTTCTTGCTATTGTGCAATACTGTGCAATTGAAAATTTCTTGCTATTGCACAATACTTATTATATAATAATTTACACATCCTGTTTGGTGTGTATCTCCTACCATATCATTATTATTTGCTTTTAAATATTAATCAGAAATAACCAACTTAAAATGGAAAATTTTAAAAGAAAAAAAAAGGAAAAAAAGAAAAAAAAAGAAAAAAAAAATTCCCTCCCCCAAATTTTTTGAACCCCCTTATGATTCATCACCCCCAAACTCAATCCCAGCCTTCCCTTTGTGGTATGGTACCTTGCAGTACAATTTCAGAGAGATCCATACACTTGAACACAAGTTATTGTCTGGAAACTAGAAAAATGCTTATTTTTGGCCCCTTTTTGGCCCCCAATTCCTAAACGTTTCAGGCAATTACCCCCAAACTCAATTCCAGCTTTCCCTTTGTGATATGGAACCTTGTAGTACAATTTCAGAAATATCCAAACACTTACACACAAGTTATTGTCATGAAACTAGAAAAATGCTTGTTTTTTGCCCCTTTTTTGGCCCCTAATTCCTAAAATTTTGAGGCAATTACCCCCAAAATCAATTACAGCCTTCCCTTTGTGATATGGAACCTTGTGGTACAATGTCAGAGAGATCCATACACTTACACACAAGTTATTGTCTGGAAGTTACAAAAATTCTTATTTTTGGCCCCTTTTTGGCCCCTAATTCCTTAACTGTTGGTACCATAACCCCCAAAATCAATCCCCACCTTCCTTTTGTGGTATTGAACCTTATGGTAAAATTTCATGGAGATCCATTCACTTAAACTAAAGTTAGAGTGCGAAAACCAATGTGTCTTCGGCCGACGCCGGACGACGCCAGACGACGACGCCGACGACGACGACGACGTCGACGCCAACGTCATACCAATATACGACCAAAAAATTTTCAATTTTTGCGGTCGTACAAAAAGTTAATAACTATAGGTCAAAGTACAGCCTTCAACACGGAGCCTTGGCTATGTTCGGTTTGCATGATTTTAAAAAAAATTCAACTAGAAACTGCGAGTTCCTCTGATACTAACACAGGATTATCTGCATTTCAACGACAAATCAAAATTTATTTTTCATATTGGTCTTTACTCCCTTAGGTATAAAAATAAGAAGATGCGGTATGACTGCCAATGAGACAACTTTCCACCTTTTGGAAATTTCAAGACTTCAAAACATTTTAATTATGACAACAGGGCATTGTCTATCTACATATTTGTTAATTGATACATAAATTGACAATCTTTATATCTCATTGAGTGAAAAATTCTAAAATTCCAAATTATAAAGGGGAGATAATTTGTATAATTTTAAAAGTTATAAAGCCTTCAGAAAATATTTTTACCTATCTAAACATAAATATTTTAAATAACCTAATTTAAAACTATGTGAAATGCAAATGAATTCATTTAGCTTTGATAATAAACTTGTAATTCTTAACATAAATGTCAAAATAGCATATTTAAAGAAAAAAATATCAATGGTGTCACCAATAAACAAAATATTATAACAATTTTAAAGCTCTCTGGCTAAAATTATACAAATTGAAATGTGTATTATACATCTTCATAACACTGGCAAGTAAAGACACTCTCTTCTTTAGTCATTCCTATAAAAATTATTAATTTTACAGATCTTAAGGATCATTAAAAACTTAATTAATTGAGTTTAAGGCTTTGAATAATAAAATTGTAATAAAATTTGAACTCAGTCCGAACTCTCAAACATAAAGATGAATAAATATTTTTTGGCAGTGCTTGCTAGTTATATTATATCCATGACTATGTTTAACTAAGAATTTATTAAAACTTAGTCCGCACTCAGCCAAATGTGAAATTTCACAATATTTTACAGATAAAACAATAATCATACATTGTATGTACAAAATTATATATTACATTAATTATTTCAAAACTTTGCATGTGGCTAAAAAACAATGCTGATTTAATTTTTATTTTTCAAGTTACTGTAAAAATATTCATTGCCAAAATCACACTATTGCAATCAATCAAATGTGATATATTTTATGGAAAATAAATCAAGTCTCTTTTTTTACTGGCAGTTTGAAAATAATACTATTAATCAAGTATTAAAACAAATTATAATAGTAGTTTTATATATATTGGTTCTTAAAGTCCTATGCAATGTTCTAAAACAATTGCAGAAAATTGTAAAAACCATAACACACAAGTTTTATAATACACTGAAAAACTCTAATAACTCAATCTAAGCATGCTAAGAGGAACTTTATATAAAGGATAGGAAAATACATTTCTGATAAGATATCAAAATTATCTTATCTAAATCCTTTTTCATAGATAGAGCCCAAAGAATGTGTTTTCATTTTTTTTGGCACTGAATAAATGAATGTGTTATTTTTGAAAATCTAAAGGTATTTAATAGAAAAATGCTTTGTTGGAAAAATAAAAATAAAAATATAAAAAAACAGTTGAATATTTTTGTATTTGAAATACTGAAAGTTTGAGCTGTGAAATTTCAGCTATATTTTGATTCAGCATAGAGTTACATCACAACTTTTCTTTCTTCTGTTTGTCGTTCACTTGCAGTGTCCATTTAATAATATCAGAATGACTTTTCATATGTACATTCAGTTCTGCCTTGTTAATAGTCTCAAATCCACACTGGCAACACCTAAATGTTACCCAGCATGCAGCAGATTGTGGATCAACAGTGGCATTCATACCTTCCAAGCGATCTTTTAACTTTTGGCGAATTGTTTGGAAAAAGGCTCTAATATCATCCTTCTGACATTCGTACGTATCAAGTCTACTATCATAATCTATAGCTGCATTAATAACTTCATTTGTAAATTCATAACTGTAATTCTGGTCACTAGCATGTCGCCACATGTGGGATTTTAATGATGGTAGATGATGGCAGACATAACCACAGATATTACATTTATACTGCTCCAATGGCTGTTGTACAAACCGTTGATCGTTGATATGTCGCTTCATGTGAGATTTCAGACTTCTGTTTGAGACTGCTGGGAAGTCACACAGCTCACATTTAAGTGTTTTTGGTTCATCATGAATTTTAGCATGATTTTCAAACCGAGTAATGCTGGTAGTATTATATTCACATTTGGCACATTTGAACTCTTTGTTATGAATTTTTGCATGCTGCTTTTGTTCTTGTGGACCAATGGCAACAAAGTCACACTCATCACACTGAAAAGATTTCTGGTAACTGCACAGTTGTTTCTTGTGATTTTTTAGTTCATATTTCGAAATGAATTTCCGATCACAAACCTCACATTTGTATTGTTTCTTTTCATTGTGACCCCGAACATGATTACGGTAACTCACCGGGTTTGTTGTTTCATAGTCGCAATCATCACAAACAAAAACCTCTTTTTCCGTATGAGCTCTCATGTGAGCTCTCAGCTGACTTTTGTAATTAAAAGCTGATGTACATAACTTGCACTGATATGTACGAACTTTACAATGCTGAATCATGTGATCCTGTAGTGATTCACTTGAGGTAGCAATAAAATCGCACAGAGAACATTCAAAAGGCTGTTTAGTTTTGTGTAATCTCATATGCTGTTTGATAACAAATGTGCTAAGATTTGAATAATGACACAACTTACAACGATATCTGACTTCTCCTTCTTCCTCCCTTCGTTCTACATTCCCCATATTTTCTATTTCTGTTAAATCTTCCAACAATTCTCGTTTCATGCGTTTCTTACTTGTTTTTTTCACACCTGGAACTTCTTCGAGTTCAGCTTCTGTTTTTGATCTTTCTCTTAGTTGCTCAATAACAGCAAGTAATGATGACGAAATACCCTGCTTTGGTTTGTCCTCTGTTTCTGTTTCTATGTTAGTATCTGACACTGAAAATTCTGATTTTAAACTCATAGGACAAGCAGGATTTTCATTTGGTCCTTTTTTCAAAAGTGAAAGTAGAGTAACAGCTGATTCGGTCATTGAAGTCGATGGTATACGTTTACGTTTCCTTGTATTTTCTTCTTCCTTTACAATCTCCATGTCACTTTCATTGCTTGATGTTTCATCATCAGTGTCAATAACTTCCTCCATTTTGTCATATTCAACAGATGATACTGTAACCTCTGTCCCAAAATCCTGAAAAATTGTGCTTTCTTTTAAGTCTTCCTCTGATCTTGGAAGTGTTTCTATTATTAGTTTATCCATTGTTGATGCTATAACTGTATTAGTATCTGATCCTACACCAGAATCACTTAGTTCTGACTGGCTGACTTCAGACACTGCACGAGGACTATTTTGTTGACTTTTTATACTTGTGTAGCTGATAAGATTTGTATTATCCACTGATTCCACAACAACATTTTTCCTGTCTTCTGAAGAATAAATTTTCTGGGTTTCAAGGTTCTCCGGTTGTCGTTTCAAACTGACTGTTTCAACTTCAACATTTTGTTGAATAACTTCAGGCTGGTTAATGTAAGTCTCACTTTCTTGACCATCTGTAACACTAAGAGTTTGCACAGAACTAGGTGCCAATTGTCCTGTGGTGACCTTTGAACTCATCAGTCCTTGGTCTGGTAACATAAAGACTACCTTCTCAGCATGATTCTGTGGTAAAGACGTAATCCCTTTATCATAAGTGTGCATTGTGTCCAAAAATACTGAAATGACAGTTGTTCCTGTGGAAGTTTGTGTAGGAATCAAAATCTCTTGGATACTATCTGATGTTGATGACGGCTGGTTGGAAGGTAAATTGTCATTTTCTCCATTTGTATCTTTTTGTTTGGCTCTCATTGCTAACATATTTGCCAGAAATGGAGCCACTGGGCTAACAGATGACATCTTGTTAATTTCCTGAGCTTTCTCAAAAACTACAGTTTTTGTGTTATACATAGGAAGATTACTTCCTTGGCTCTCGACTGATGATACTGCTGTTGATACAACTGGTTTTTCTCCTTCTACTCCTGGTTGAAGTAATATTTCTTCATAAATACTCAATGGACCATTCTGGAACATAGGATAATCAATATCTTTATTTCCTGAATGTTTCCAGATATGAGCTTTGATTGTTCGCTGATAGTCACATGTATAACCACAAATCGTACACCGAAATTTAGCATTTGATGTGTTATATACAAAAGGCAAGCTTTCTGAGCCCTGATTTGTATCATTTGTTACAACTGGATTAATTGGTTCTGGCTTCCCTTCAAATTGCTTTTTATCCTGGTAATTGACAGCAGGTATTCTTTCTGCATCTTGTGGTGGTTTTGGAATTTTCTGTAGTTTTATAGTCTTGGGTAACATGGGCAACTTTTGATCTAATTTCTTCTGCTGCACAACCATCTCATTCATGATTTGTGGCTGTGTTTGATTAAGTTTTGATTGTTCAGGATACTCCAGTGACTTGTCTGTGTGAATCTGTAAATCTGGCCTATGTGTCAGCATGTGAACTACAAAAACATAGGCTTCACTACAAGAGAATTCACATTCTACACATTTGTATTCTGCCTTGCCTTCAGGTGTTGTTGTCTGAGGTTGCGGCTTTATATTCTCTGCAACTTCTTTTGAGGTGGGAGACGAATGTTTTTTCATTTCACCAGACTCTTCCTGCTCAATGTGGACAAGCATGTGCTCTTTCATCTTCAAAATATCACCAGACACAAACCCACATTCAGAACATTTCATCATTTTTCTTTCAATGGGTATATTTTGAGCTGGTTCATTTTTCATATTTTCAACTGTTTCTGCTTTCTTCTGTGCCTCTATACTCTCCCGATGTGTTTCAGCATGTGCACAAAAATGTTCAAAACTCTTACTCCTGTGATTACACATTTCACACACATACATTTGTGAGCACTGAGTCTTGTGTAATTTCAAATGTTCTTCAATCTCTGTCTTATTAACAGCCATGAAACTACACACATCACACACATACAGCTTATCAACATTGTGAACAGACTTCATGTGTGGTTCAACATCTGGTTGATAAATGGAAACTTTGCATATAGGGCATGCCACCATCTTCTGATGAAGTTTAACATGATTGGTTAAATGTCCTTTCTTACGAAATGTGGCATTACAATGAGTACAAACAAAAGGCCTCTCATTTGAATGAACCATCAGATGCTCTCGTAAGGAGTGGCTACGCTTTCCAGCATAATTACAAAAGGGACATTTATATGGTCTGCTAGCACAATGGACCAGATCTACATGTTGTTTTAGGTAATGTTTGTTATGGCTAGAGTAATCACATTCTTCACATTTATGAACTTCCTGACTAGTCAATAAAGACGATTGTAAGGTTTGAGCTGACGATTCTGGTGTTGGCATGGAAACATATAAGTTTGGTGGTGATTGTGACGTTGATGTAGTAGGTGTTGTCATGGAAGAAGCTGATGTAACTTTAGAAATGTTTTCTACAATAATAATTGGACTGTTCATGAATCCTTTCTCTTTAGCAAGTTGTTCCACCAGTTTCTGAGGTGACTGGACATTTTTGGATGTATATAGCGTTATAACAGGGTCCGACATCTTTACCTCTAGGGAACTGTCATGGTTTTGAGATTTCTGTACTTGATTGACTACTTCCTGTAACTGACTGAGATTCCGACTACTTGTAAACTGTTGAGATTCTGAATTTTGATCAGAAAGCAAAGATGGCTGGACTATTCCTGTCAAGGAACTGACAGCTTGTAAATGACTACCACTGGATGACATCATTCAAGATGAATTCAGATCTTTATAAAACTTTTACAGCTTACAATCTGCCACCTGAAAAAAATAGAAATAGGTTTTATATATTTTTTTAAGGGTGCAGATAGAGCAACTAGAAAAATAAATTATTACTTTATACAACCAATCACATTACAACTAATGCCCAAAATGTAATCATGAAGTACAATATTATGTGTATGGAAGATGTGAAATGTCATAGATTTGTAACTCACACAAATAGAATTTTATTATTATTAGTCATATTAAAGCATTGGCAAAAAAAACAACTTAAAGCTTTTTAGTTTAAATATGTTTTTTCCCCAGAATTCCACCATGTCCACCAAAAAAACTTGAATGAATATTTTAAGAACTTGTTTAAACTACTACCATTCAAAACATAATAGGGCTCAAAAGAAGCTGATAATCAAAATTTATTATTCTTTTTGTCCCCCACATGTGCACGTCTTAGGGAAATATGGTTATTGTCTCCGTCAGTCCTATTTCTATTTCCTCCAAAACCCATCAATACTCAAGACCATTTGAGATAAAGCTTTCGAACTTGGTAGGACTATTTTTCTTTATATTCTCTTGATCTTGCTATATCATCAGTTCGATTTGACAATTTTTTGGGGAGTAATGACTGAACATTTTTTTTTAGTATTGTAACAAGACAGCTTGTGAACTCAACTCCCTTGTATTGTTTTGACAGAAAGCTCTCATACTTGGTAAGATTGTTTGTCATCATGTTTAGTTTTACATTTTTGGCCATACCATTTTAAAAGTTGGCCATATTATACAGTTTTTTATCCAAACATTTTATAGGGAGTTATGGGACTTTTGACTTTTTTAGAGTATTGTGACAATAACACATTCTTAACGCAACTATCCTGAGACCATTTGACAGAAGCTCTCATATGTGCTAATATTTTTTGCCATCATGTGTAGTTGACCATTTTATACAGTTTTTTATCCATACATTTTTATGGAGTTATGGGACGTTGACCATTTTTTTAGTATTGTGACAATAAGACTTTGTGATTGTAACTTCTCCGAGACCATTTGACAGAAAGCTCTCATAATTGGTAAAATTGTTTGTCATCATGTTTACTTGACCAATTCACACTGTCTTGTTGATCCAAATTTTTTTTACAAGAATTTTGGGACCCTGACCATTTTATGAAGTATTGTGACAATAACACTTTACTAGTTTAGTGACTTTGTGAAAGCAACTCCTCTTACAGAAACTGCTGATATTTGGTAGGATTGGTTGCCATCATGTGTAGTTGACCATATTATACCTTTATTTTGATCAGACCATTTTTACAGGAGTTATGGGACTTTTACCATACATGTATCTTGACTCAATATACATGTATTAAAATTAAATCTCCACACTTGCTCATTTTTTTTTTTTGCTTGGTAGCTCCCGCCTGACCAAGCAAAAAAGAAATGACCAAGTGCAGAGATTTAGTTTTAATTAGATTATGTGTAAAGAAGACCATGTCACTAGACAGTACAGAAGTCCATTCCTATACCTTGGACATGTTAGATAAGACTAACTGGCTTATTCTCTTACAATGTAAATCATATACTTAATTACATTTTTCAGAAAAATATTTAATAATATTATGTATTTATTACATAATATTTTGCAATTCTTTAAGGGGAAAAAATACAATTTTACTGTTTAGATTTATTTGCTTGTATGCATTATAAAGTATACCAGTAGATATTTGGTGGTGTATTTCAATTTATCTAAGTCAGACTATCTTCACCATGTGTTGCTGGTTGTTGTTTGGCTTTGTATGTCAATTTTTTTTCAGAGGAGTCTATCATGTGTGGTTTGTTGTACTGTTCCAGTGGCGGATCCAGAAATTTTCATAAGTGGGGGCCCACTGACTGCCTAAGAGGGGGCCCGCTCTGGTCATGCTTCAGTGATTCCCTATATAATCAACCAAATTTTTCCAAGAAAAGGGGGGGCCTGGGCCCCTTGGCCCCACCCTCTAAATCCGCCTCAGTGTTCAACATTCATTGGTAATTCCTGTTATACTTTAAATTTTAATGTTTTTTTTTAATTTAACTTCTGCATTGTTTTCTGTTATTAAAAGCTGTGGTGCAGTTTATCATAATGATGACAATCAAGTCATGCAATAAAATGCATTCAATTTTCTGTATTTTGTATATTTAATAACCAATAAAATGCTCCGCAGGGCGCAGCTTGATACAACCGCAGAGGTCGAACCCTGAACAGTTGGGGCAAGTATGGACACAACATTCAAGCTTAATACAGCTCTGAATTTGGATTGTGATTAAATATTTGACACAGCATAGGTTTCTGACACAGAATGAATGTGGTCTAAGAACTTAAAAATTTTAAATTGGACATTCATCTATTATGGTCCAATATCCAAAATCTAAATACATGGTTAGATTCAGCATATCAAAGAACCCCAAGAATTCAATTTTTGATGAAATCAAACAAAGTTTAATTTTGGACCCTTTTGACCTCAATGTGGACAAAGTTGATAACGGGGCCCAAAAATCTAAAATCTAAATACATGGTTAGATTCAGCATATCAAAGAACCCCATATATTCAATTTTTGTTGAAATCAAACAAAGTTTAATTTTGGACCCTTTTGACCTCAATGTGGACAAAGTTCATAACAGGGCCCAAAAATCAAAAATCTAAATACATGGTTAAATTCAGCATATCAAAGAACCCCATATATTTAATTTTTGTTGAAATCAAACAAAGTTTAATTTTGGACCCTTTGGACCTTAATGTAGACCAATTTGAAAACGGAACCAAAAATTAATAATCTAAATACACGGTTAGATTCAGCATATTAAAGAACCCCAAGAATTCAAGAATAAAACCCCATTGAAATTGATCAAGAAATAAGCAATTTATACGAAATATCTTCTTTTGCACAATACTGTGCAATTGATTATTTCTTGCTATTGCGCAATACTGTACAATTGACAATTTCTTGCTATTGCGCAATATTGTGCTATTGGATATTTCTTGCTATTGCGCAATACTGTGCAATTGAAGATTTCTTGCTATTGTGCAATACTGTGCAATTGAAAATTTCTTGCTATTGCACAATACTTATTATATAATAATTTACACATCCTGTTTGGTGTGTATCTCCTACCATATCATTATTATTTGCTTTTAAATATTAATCAGAAATAACCAACTTAAAATGGAAAATTTTAAAAGAAAAAAAAAGTAAAAAAAAATTCCCCCCCCCAAAATTTTTTGAACCCCCTTATGATTCATCACCCCCAAACTCAATCCCAGCCTTCCCTTTGTGGTATGGTACCTTGCAGTACAATTTCAGAGAGATCCATACACTTGAACACAAGTTATTGTCTGGAAACTAGAAAAATGCCTATTTTTGGCCTCTTTTTGGCCCCCAATTCCTAAACGTTTCGGGCAATTACCCCCAAACTCAATTCCAGCTTTCCCTTTGTGATATGGAACCTTGTAGTACAATTTCAGAAATATCCAAACACTTACACACAAGTTATTGTCATGAAACTAGAAAAATGCTTGTTTTTTGCCCCTTTTTTGGCCCCTAATTCCTAAAATTTTGAGGCAATTACCCCCAAAATCAACTACAGCCTTTCCTCTGTGATATGTGGTACAATGTCAGAGAGATCCATACACTTACACACAAGTTATTGTCTGGAAGTTACAAAAATGCTTATTTTTGGCCCCTTTTTGGCCCCTAATTCCTTAACTGTTGGTACCATAACCCCCAAAATCAATCCCAACCTTCCTTTCGTGGTATTGAACCTTATGGTAAAATTTCATGGAGATCCATTCACTTAAACTAAAGTTAGAGTGCGAAAACCAATGTGTCTTCGGACGACGCCAGACGACGACGACGACGCCAACGTCATACCAATATACGACCAAAAAATTTTTGCGGTCGTATAAAAAGTATTATGAGGGTGTGGATGGGGGTTTACAGAATAGGGAATAATGGACAAAAAATGTAAAGAATTGAGAAAATGGACCAAAAAAATAAAGAATAGAGAATAGTGAGGTGCTTAAATATAAAGAATAGAGAATAATAGGCTAAAAGTATATAGAATAGAGAAAAATGGACTAAAAGTATAAAGAATAGAGAAAAATGGCCTAGAAAATTAAAGAAAACAGAAATGAAGGAACCCCCCGTCCAGACCCTCTATTGTGTCATGTATGACAAGTAAACCAAAATACACCTTTTAAAACCCAATAGTGTTTGTACATGCCTGATATTATGCCCCTAAAGGATAGTAAATGATAGGATCCATAGATTATCCCAAAGTCACCATAACTTGCATGAAAACATACAAAATATAGTTAGCCACTTCAATTGTGATTATTTAGAACATGTGTAACAATTTTTCTTTATATACAAGCCAATGCTTAACTAAATTGTGTTAATCAATTTTTTCGTAATTTCAATTTCACATGATTTTTTTGTGCGATCACATAATAAAATTATATTATGGTATGCAAGTTTAATCTTATTTTCAATTATGTGCATAACAAAGACCCACATTTTTGAGATCTATTACAAACAATCAATTTGATTTCCATATAAACATGATTAAGAAATCAAAGTAATTAATTTGAAATTGATAGTAAGTGTTGTGTACAGTTAATTGTGCTTAAATAAAGTTGATCAGATCAATTAATTCTGAACTGTCATTGTAAGAGTTTCTGATTGAAATGTTGGAATGTCTTTGTACATGTTGTATATAACTCAAAATATCTTACTGTATTTTAATTATGGAGATCAAAATAATAATATTATATTACTCAAAATTTCAATTTGCTTTATATCATGTATATATACATGATATATATTTATACATAAAATGTAAATTGCAAATAAAATATGATAGTATTTTACATTATTTAATTTTACAGATTTATTGTATCATTTCATCATGTGGACTCACCTCAAAATTGTGCACATACAAATATGAAAATATGATAAAATTCACACAATTTCATTTATTTTTCTGTTATATTTTTACTTCTCATAATTTGATGTACACAAAAGTAAAGAGTTATAATTCTTGAACTAATTAGTCTGTAGGTAGAGTTTTCCTTGACCTAATGCATAGTCCATGCATAGAAGATAGTATTTTAAAAAAAGTAAAATTGTAATTTTTAATATGTTTGTTAATAGCTACTGCTTACTTAAAAATGACTTATTTGGATTTCTCTTTTAGTGTTTTCGTGCAACTTTTTTAGTTAATTTCTTGACTTTAAATGATAGACGGTAAATTTTAATCTCTACACTTAGGCCCCTAAAAAACCTTCAACAATACATGTATGCCACCAATGTACATGTAACTTCTTTTCATTTTTTTTTTTCAAAAAGGTGCAAATGATATCATGCAACATTTGTGTATCTGATTGCTAAAATGTATAATGGCATGTACTAAGTCAATAAAAATAAAACTTGCAACAAATATAACATCCAGGAGCTCATCAGGTAGCACCTGCTTCACATTAGTTTACTGTATATAACATTAACAAATGTCGAAATGATACATGTAAGTTGCAACAAACTAACATGGTCATGTTTCTCCCTGTAAAACGGATAAACCAATACACCGACAAACTTTTGTTTATTCTTTGCCAAATATTAACAATACAAAATCAAATAATTGTCTGTTTCATGCAATGTCTTTACTCTGTCCCTCCAAAACAATATTTGTGTCATTACCGACCGCATCAACTTTCAAAAACGTGGTTTACAAATAGTCATTGTTTTTCATCTTAGATTACTGCAATATAGTGAAAAATGGTTGAATATTTTTTAAAATGGGTTCGTGAATAGAGCAAAATCAACTTTTCTCTGGATTTTTGTGATGAACTCTTACATTGTAAGCAGAAAATTCAGGGATTCAGGTTAATGAATGTCCATGATGGCGATCAAAATAGTCACGTGATCTGGTAGTACGCCAGAGAAAATCACATGGCATTTTCTCTCGCGTTGGCATGAAAACGAGAGAAATAATATTTTATTGATCAACTTTTCAAAATATGGAATATTGTAAGATTTCATTACGTCAAAAAGATAATAAGACTGTAACTGTTAGAATGAAAATTGTTTCAAAAATTAAAAAAAGTATCACGTTAAACTGGAATCCGCTTGTATATAACGCTATGCTCAAAGTGTAGTAGTCAGCAGAGAACCAGCTTAGGTTAACAATACTAAAAATCAGTTTCGGAATATATTCCGGAAAACGTACGAAAAGGAAAGATTGATGATTGATTGATTGATGTTTAATGCCACTGTCAGCACTATTGGCTATTTTCGAATAGAAAAGATGGGTTAATCATAAATTGATGAAGCAATTGGAGTAGCATCTCTTAAGTTGTTTGTTTCACAGGGTTACTCGGTTAGCGGATATACAAGAAATTGTATTGGGGTTTTCTTCGTATTTCCTGTCTATCTGCTTGATTTGTATTGAATTATTACGTTGGCACCAAGATTCGGTGGCGGATTCGGAGTGGGGATAGAGGACGGATCTCCCTTTTAATTGAATAAAACGGAAAGCATGTCATTTTTTGCATTAAAATCGTCTCCACAAATGTTTGCTATAAAGATGCACGGCGGTACATATTATCATTTCCCCGTGGAATAACGCTCCCTTTCAGAAATTCAGGATCCGCCCCTGAGAGTTTTTTGTTTAAACTAGTAAAGTGCAATTTACTCTCCATATTCGTATACAGAAAAATCCTCGAGGGGATTTAAAAAGTCTGTATTTTGTATTTCCCATCCTGCTTTAGATTTTAAGGACATTTTTCCTTAGCTTTAAAAATATCTCTTATTCTGTAGAATTCCATGAACATGATTTTGCTAATACATTTTTGTCTCGCCGGTGACGAAAGTCGCAGTATGCGAGACATATGTATTACTATCCGACGACGGCGTCCGCGGACTCGATGTAAACTATTTGTATCATAAAGCTTTTTATTTCAGATGGTAGAGGACCTGGATGTTTCATACCTTGTATGCAGATACCTCATGTGACGAAGTTTCCGTCTGTAATATGTCCATTGTCCATTACTTTATTTTCATGGTTCATGTGAATTTCTCACTTATTATGACGGTAATAGGAAAACTATATTTGGTATATGGGTTCCTTGCAATGTCTACATGTCCGTCAGACAGGATTCACCTGACATCTACCTTATTTTCATGGATCAGTGATCAATTAAGGTTAAAGTATCGTGATTGGGTTCGTTTCTCAGATACTATAAGCAGTAGGTCAACAATATTTGGTGTACGGAATGATTGTAAGGGGTACATGTCAGTCTGGCAGGTTTCATCTGACCTTGACCTCAATTTCATGGTTCATTGGTCAATTTTAAGTTTTTGTGTTGGTCTGTTTTTCAAATGCTAATACCAATAGGTCAGCTATATTTGGTGTATGGAATAGTTCTAAGGTGTATATGTCTGTCTGGCAGTTATTATCTGACCTTGACCTCATTTTCATGGTTCATTGGTCAATGATAAGTTTCTGTAGTTTGGTCATCTTCTGAGATACTATAAGTAATAGGTCAATTATATTTGTGTATGAAATGATTGTAAGGTTTACATATCTGTCTGGCAGGGTTCATCTCAGTGACCTTAACCTCATTTTCATGGTTCATTGGTCAATATTTAGTTTTCCTGGTTAAGCATCTTTTTATATATTATGAACAATAGGTTAACTGTATTTGGTGCAAGGAATGATTGTAAGGTGTACATGTCTGTCGAGCAGGTATCTTCTGACTTTGACCTCATTTGCATGGTTCATTGAGCAATGTTAAGTTTTCAGCAGTTTGGTTTCGTTGTTTGATACTATAAGCAAAAGGTAAACTATATTTGGTGTATGGAATGATGTTAAGGTGTACATGTATGTATGCCAGGGTTTATTTGACCTTGACCTTATTGTCATCAATCATTGATAATGTTAAGCTTATGTGATACTTGCTGTAAAACCTTTATTTTCAAGACTTTCAACATTAAGTCAATTATGGTCAGTACAGGTGAGAAATTCCAGCGTGTGCACTTTTGGTCTGTAATAAGATGACTTTTTTATCCTGTACATCGTTCATTTCTGTATTGTATTACATAATTCATTTATTTTCCACACTGAGTTATTCTTTATACTTTTGAACCCCATTGTTCTCTTTTCTTTATTATGAGTTTTTTTCTCATTTTTCTCTATTCGTTTACCCCTCTCCCCTACCCCATTATTCTCTATAAACCCCACCCAGACACTCATTTCCTTCCTAAACGATTTTTCTATCAGAATCATGCATAGGTTTTATAATCCACGACACCCTTATCTTTTCCCACAGGTAAAAGCAAAGTGACTGTCAAACGTATCGTGATATTTGATTCTAGAAGAATTCAAACAGATTGAAAGCGTAGTACATATTTTTAATAAGAGGCGGAAGATACCGAAATGAACACCCAAAACTCACAAGTAGAGATAAACGATCAAGGACATGATAAAAACATAAGACGACGAAAACAATAAAAACAAAAGACGACGAAAAACAAACAAGTTCACGAAACAATACATAGAAAACGAAAGACGACAATAGAACGATCTCATAAACACTTCATATACACTATATAAAAAAACTAAAGACTGAGCAACAATAACCCCACCAAAAAAACTAGGCCGGTGATCTCAGGGTAAGCAGATCTTGCTCCACTTGACTGGCACCTGTCGTGTTGCTCATGGTAAGTACAGATTCGGTTAATTAGTCTAATTCGGCGATGTCACAATCAGGATGAAATTAAGGTTACGACAATTGGAACATGTATGTGGTCATATGTGACCCAGACAGATATCCCATAACAGTCAAACAACTGGTGAAGGCGTCCGTAAATCTTTCGAAGGGATGACTTCAACTTTACGACTTTGTTCGGTATCTTCCCTGTAAGCAGCAACCCTGTATCAAGAAAATCATGATTGGAAACAAATTAAAGTTCTGGAATATCGTATCAACTCAACGATATATAATACTCTATATGCAACAGCTAGGGTCTGGATGAGGGTCCTTCATTTCTGTATTTTTTAGACAATTTTTCTGTATTTTTTATACTTTTTGTCCATTATTCTCTATTTTTTATATTTTAGCACCTCATTATTCTCTATTCTTTATTTTTTGGCCTAGTTTTCTCTATTCTTTATATTTTTTGCCCATTATTCTCTATATTCTGTAAACCCCTCATGCAAGCGCTGATGAAATGTTGCTACATAGAAATGTAAAGTTCACAATTGGAAATCTAAACACGATCCCTATTGTTGTAAAATTTTGTTCCGTCAACCGACCCTAATTGTCAATTTATAGATGTAAGTCAAGATGTAAGGCTGACTTAATTCACTGCATCTGTGGTATCCTTTATTTCAAGTTCGAAATGATATATATGCGTTCACCTTTGAATTATTTAGTGAGAAGACATTATTTATATAGAGGAACGTAACGTAAAAGGATAATGCTATAGTTTCTTTTCATTCTTCCTTAGAAGATCAAGTAGGATTAAGTAACAAGTCGGAAAGACTTAATTGGTTTTCTTATAAAGGAATGCCGATTGTTTGTTGAAAAAAATCCTCCAAACGTTACAAATTTATTGTCATTCAAATAATAAAGCATCTTGATGATGGCATGCAGTCTCAGAGAATTTTTGTTTGAATTAGAGTGTTGTTTATTTTTTAATATAATTAAACCCATCCTAAAATAAGATATTTTTTAATCTACGTTGGTCGTTCTTTTTAATGAAACAAAGTAGGATTAATTCTTTCTTTAATTAAAAAAGGAGATAAAGATAAAGCGATCTATAATTGACCAGTATCTTTGAAAAAATAATACAAGAAAATTGTTTTTAAGTCATCATGATATACAAATTTATTATGACAATTAGCACGGTTTCTGAAGAAAGAGGTCAAGTGAAACCCAACTTATTATTAGCCGATTCAGGACTTGGCTAAATCGTTGGCAGATTGAAACTTATGGAGGTAATTCTTTTAGATTTTTTAAAGCAAATTCATTGATAAAGTCTTCTATATCAAAGATTAATTCAGAATAATTATATATCAGTTATCCAACATAAGATGCAAAACAAAGGGTCAATAAAAATATAGAATCATGAGAGAGAAAAAGCGAAAAAACATAGACAAAAAAGACAAAAAAGGCACCCCTGGGTGTGCGGGTATCATCAGCTCAATTAGTCAATGTTTCGGTAATGACATGATTTATAACTGACAAGCTTTTCTCAGTTTAAATATTCTCTGTTTGAAATGACCAGAAAATTTTATCTAAATTCCAAGCGTCTAAATAAGATGTCATGATTACTTGGAAATATAATTATATAGATGGGTTGTGATTTTCTTATGAAATATATGAATGGGTAGGGATTTTTGCATTAATCAATATATGAGTTGGGAGGGAGGGGTATTTAAATCTGAGCCATACGTCTGTACCCAAATTTGTATGTTGAGACCCCACCTCCCCGTGAAGAAAGAAGACTTAAAAGCAGATTGATATAAAAATAAGAACAACTATAGGTCACCGTACGGCCTTCGACAATGAGTAAAACCCATACCGCATTGTCAGCTATAAAAGGCCCCGATATAACAAATGTAAAACAATTCAAACGAGAAAACCAAATGTACAAAATAATGAACGAAAAAACAAATATGATATAAAGCAACACACGACAACCACTGAATTACAGGCTCCTTACTTGGGACAGGCACATACAGAATGTAGCGGGGTTAAACTGGTTTAAAGGCGCGACCCTCCCCTTAACCTGGGACAGTGGTGTAACAGTACAGCATAAGAACAAACTATAAAAATCAGTTGAAAAGGGCTTAACTCATCAGATGGACACAAAGCAGAAATATACATCTAATAAAAAACAGAGGGGACGT